TTGCTCCCTGGGGCCAAGACTGACCGAGGGGCACAGGTGATGAAAGGGACCCCCAGATCCAGGAAGAGGTTGTCCCCCAAGCCTAGCTGCTGGACACACCCCCACCCCACCCAGCCAGTTTTTCTGTGGGAAATCGGGGTTCATCAGGTGCCCTCCTGCTCCTAACACATCGTTGCTGTAAAACAGACACAATGTCAGTGGCATTCAATACATACCTACCTCTTGTAGCAAACAGTGAGTTTCCTTCCTCTGTTTTATTTGCCCTCTCAATTCCACCAGTGTTTCCTGAGCACTTGGTTGGGGTCCCAGGCATGTGCTGGGGACCCCACCGATCTGTTAGGATAAGAAGGTCCTCGCGCTGGGTAAAAGGCTCACATGTGGGAGAACCCCCCGGCCCCAGTCCAGCGAGCCTCCATGGGCAGTAAACCCTCATTTAGACAAGTCACTGGTCCATCTAAGCCAGAGTCTCCATCTGGAAAGCCCAACGGTGGAACAGGGCCCCAGCTCCCACAGTCTTAGTGGGGATTGGGTGGGGAGGCAGGAGATGAGCTTCAGCAGGTGCCACAGCACAGGGTGGGCGGTCACCAGAGTGTAGCGTCCCCTCCGCCCTGGCACTGGCCGCTGTGGCTCTACCAAGGGGCAGCCAGTATTTTTCCATGACCCTCCCTTGCCATTAGGGGTTATGGGCAGAGCTGTGAGTCATCACATCGCCAGACCCAAACCTGCATCCATTGTCTTCAGTGAAGCCTGCTGCCGCTGGGGGCCAGGTGTGGGGGTGGGCACCTGCCAACAGGAACCGGGCCCCTCCAACTCCCCGCAGGGCCCGTGGCCCTGGTGCCTTACTTCAAATCAGTTTTGTTGGAAAAGGTGGGGAGTGTTTTAAAATAAGTTGCAACTCCCGCTGCCGGCAGGAACTTCCTGGCCGCAAGACCACACCCTTCATTACACCCTTAGGGCCTTCTGTAGTTGAACCCAGAAGGGATCATGGTCACCCCCCCCCCCCCCCACAAAGGCAGGCCCTCTATCCCCAGGCCTTATACTGCCCCACTGTGCCCCTCCCTCGCATAGGAGTTAGGGTTCTAGATTGAAACCCAGGGTGTGAATTCCAGTCCTTTGAGCAGCTCTGTGCTGGAAGGAAGGTGACAGCCTTCCCAGGCTCAGACAGCTTAGGGAGCCTGGCTTGAGGTAGCCCCCCCTTGTCTTCCAAGGAGCCTGGCTGGTTCCACAGCCTTCCCTACCCCCCAGCTTCTGTGCCCCCCTGCCTGGGGTCCTTTGACCACCACCCCTAGCCACAGCTTCCCCCCTCTTTAACCCTCCCCTCCCATCAGGCCCCAGCACCATTTACCTGGGCCTGTCACACGGCCCGACCTTACTCCTCTGTGCCACTCGGCTGCCAGCTCCCTAGGCAAGATCGTGAGGGGGTCCACGTCCACACCCCAAAGTGCCCACCTGCCCAGCACAAAAAAAAAGCTGCTTGTGCCTGAATAGGTAGCTGGTTTCTCTCTGCTGGGAATGCAGTTTTTTTCTGTCAGAGTCATGAGAAGTAGGTTTGGGGGGCGAACTGGCCTTCGTGGAGTCCCTGCTCTGTGCCAGGGACCTACGGTGCACTGTTCTATCGGTTTAACACTCCGCTCTCCTGGAAGGCAGAGGATGCCTTCCTCCCTGGTGAGAGGCTGGTCTCCAAAGTGCAGTGATGACAGCAAGTGCTTCTGCGTCCTTTGCCGGGTTAGGCGCTCCTAAGCTTTTCGCGTCTTAATCGTTTAATCCTTCCAACAGCCCTCTGAGGCAGGTTCTGATGTTCCCGTTGGAGGGATGGGGAAACTGAGGCACAGTGGTTCAGTGACTTGTCCGAGGCCCCATAGGCTGGCTCCAGAATCTACCCTGAGGCCCCTTGCCAACTCGTGGCAGACACAGTGCGTGCGTGTGGCTGCAGGGGGCAGCCTGGCTCCAGAGCACGCAGGAGAGGGCTGACTTCGGCTGCACAGGGCTGGCACTGTCCGTCGCAGGGAAACTTAAGGACCCGGGCCCTTATCTTCCAACCACAGGCCCAGGCCCCGCTTTGTGCAGACCCAGACTGCCTCTTGTCTGGGCAGGCGTGGTGGCTGTGGGAGGCTCCAGGGCACCTGTTTCCTTCTGGATTGCCTCAGCTGCCTTGGTATAGGATTGGCTCTTCTGGTGGAACTGGGGTGGGATCCCCTGCCACCCAGACCCCACCTCTTCCGTTCACTTCTGACATGACCGGGGCCACCCACTGCCTTTCAGGACTCCTCTCCTTGCGCAGTAAAGACCAGACTAGATAGGGTTCCGCCCCGTACGTGCAGCCCTACCTCCAAGACCGGGTGTCCCGGGCTGAGGGACTTTGGACAATAGCTGGTGACGGCGGTTAGGTCCCAGTCCTGACTGATTTCTAGGAGCCTCGGTTTCCCCACCTGTAAGATGGGTAGTCGGCTAATAAATAGGTGCTGCTTCTCCCGAGGGGTTTAGCTGGTCGCCTTGAGGCGGGGGGGGGGGGGGGGGGGGGGGATGGTGGGTAGCCACGTCAGCTGCGCCTGCTGTGGCCCCAGGTCTTTGATGCCGGGGAGATGTTCGGGATCATGCAAGTGGAGGAGGTGGAGGAGGAGAGTGAGGGCGAGGCAGCCCGGGAAGTGCCAGGAAGAAGCCCAACCCCGGCAGCGAGCTCTGCTACAAGGTCATCGTGACCAGCGAGAACGGGCTCCAGGCGGCCAACCCCAACAGGTAGGAGCCTCAGGCCAGACGCCCGTCGTCCATCCCGTGGCCCTCAGAATGGGCTCCTTCCTAGGGGGTCACCGAGGCCAGAAGCGGTAAATTCAGGCACTAGTGTTTCCTGTGTGCCGGGCACTGGCCTCTTCGCCAGCTGGTTCAGAGCGTGTGTGTGGGTGCAAGGCAGCCTTACCCGTGAGCCTGCCCTTCTCTGAAGGCCTGTCTCCGGTCCTACGGGATCTGGGTCTCTGGGTGGAGCCCAGGAAACATAAACAGGTTCTCCCAGGGCTTTATGCCCGGACTGTGAGCATTGTGGTCTGGTTGGCTTCTCAGGCAGGGGGACACCAGGGCCCAGCGCCACAGGGTAGATGGGGCGGAGCTCAGACCGAACCCAGGACTCCTGCCTCCCAGGGACCAAAAGAAGCTGTCGTCAGCCATGGCGGGCCCGTCCGCCGCACTTTCTTGGAACCTTAAGGAGGAAACTTGCCGGCCTCTCGAGGTCACCGGGCCCCTGTGTCCGTAGGGACAGGGTCTTCTGTGTCCGGGAAGGGTCTGGCTGGCCTCTTCTTCTGCAAAGGTTTTCTGGCCTCCTTTGCCAGCCTGTGAGGGGGCGGGAGAGGCCACACAGGTCATGACAGCAGCCAGGCGCCACCACCCACACACTCTCTTGCTCAGAAACTTGCAGACTCACCTCTCACGTCAAGTTCAGCGCAGCAGCCTCCGCATGCACCTGCTCTGTTCCCGGCCGTGCCGCTCTGGGGCCCCGGCCCAGCAGCCACCGGGCAGGTTCAGGAGGGGATGCGGGCAGAGTCCTGGGCTTGGAGCTCCGGACATTGGTTTCAGCTCCACAGCCCTCCCTGCTCCTGGGCCTTTCTCCCTTTAGAGCCTCGTGAATCTCCTCTGATTGCCGGGTTCCAACCTCATCCTCTCTCCATATGTGCTGTGTCCAGCCCCCCTGGTGAGCATGTGCCCGGGGCCACCCCCCGGTATCCCACCTTGAAGCTCGGCTGGGTGCCCTGCAACCTACGGTCGTATCCCCTGCGCACAAGGGCAAGGATAAATCTCCATCTCTTGCCGGGTATGCAAACAAAAAGTACCACAAGCACAATGAAATAAACACTGCCGATCTTGCCACCCAGAGGAAACACCGGAGCATTTGCTGTTCCTTTCATCTCCTCAAGGGAATGGAGGTGAGGGCCGTGTGGCCCGGCAGGCAAACCACACGCCTGTGTGTTCGGAGCGTCCTGGCCCAGCGGGCCCCGTGGGGCGGTAGGGATGCCTGCCCGGCCCCCCAACGCGCTCCCGCCGCCGTGTGTGAGGGCAGCCACGCCCCTCTGGGCTCTTCCAGGGGGACTGGACCACACAGGGCACAGCTGTCCATATGTGTGGAGACTTGAAGCCTCTCCCACAAAAAGGCCTCGGGCTTTCCCAGGAAGTGCCCTGAAGCCCCCGGCACGCGTGAGTGAGCTCCGAGTGACGGCCTCTGTGCACAGCTGCCTGCCGCTGGCCTTCCGCTGTGGGCAGCTTTTGCCTTTGCTGAGCACCTGCCGTGTGCCGGGCCTGCAGGTAGCGAGGAGGGGGGCATACACCTGTGCAGCGGTTCCAAATCCAGTTGAAGTCACTTGTTACAGTGATGAATAGCAATCGGCAGAAACACAAGTACACGGTGTGTGGTCAGCATGTTGTATATTTGGTCCACTGATGGGAGGCAGGGACCCACTGATGGGAGGCAGGATCTCCCACTGGTGGGAGGCAGGGTCTCACTGATATGAGGCAGGGACCCACGGATATGAGGCAGGGTCCTGCTGATGGGAGGCAAGGTCCAACGGATGGGATGCGGGGACCCCGGTGGCTTTTTCAGAATTGGAAGAGGGAGAGAAACCTCCCCAGGCCACAGCTGCAGGCCTCTCCCTCTCAGCATCTCCTGCTGGCCCCTTCTGTCCTGCCCTTCTTGCCGCGCCCGTGGGGCAGCCTCACGGCCCCCTTTGGTCTGTGCCCGCAGCATCTTCCTCATCGACCACGCTTGGACGTGCCGCGTGGAGCACGCGCGTCAGCAGCTGCAGCAGGTGCCCGGGCTCCTGCACCGCATGGCCAACCTGATGGGCGTCGAGTTCCACGGCGAGCTGCCCAGCGCGGAGGCTGTGGACCTGGTGCTGGAGGAGATGTGGCGGTTCAACCAGACCTACCAACTGTCCCACGGGGTGAGCAGGCAGCTGGACCTGGGGGAGGCGGGCGACGGACAGGGACGGGGGCCTTCACTGCCCTGGGCCGTCAGGGGCAGCCCAGGAGAGCCAGGACCCGGCCCCAGGAGCCGTCACCCTGGGGTGAGCAGACTCCTCTCCGTGGGGCCCCTCATTGCCTGTGGCCTCATCGTGGGCCTGTTACTCTGCCTTGGGCCACCCAGCGCTGGGGACCCGTGTATCTGGGGGCCTTTGAGCTCGTGGGACACCACCCTCTCTCTGACCATAGACTTGAGTTCCGTGACTTGGCTGTCTGTTTCCTGATGCTTTCAGATTCTGTTGTCCCGTCCCCGTGAAAGCCTTCAGTTGTTCCTCACTGACTCCAGAAGAGTCGAGTCCCTGTTGTCATGACCACCCCTCCCCCCCAGCATCCCCAGACTCACCCTCACACTCCAGCCCCTTGCCACTTTTAGTTTGGGAAGAGACAAAAGTTGTTTCTCAGGGTCTCAGCTTAGATGTCCCCTCCTCCGAGGAGCCTCCCTCGCTCTCTCCCTGCCACACGCACAAAGCCAGACACATCCATGCAGCCGTGGTCTAACACCTGTCCCACACAAGCGATCACTGCAGTCGGCCCAGGAGGCCCCTGGTTAAAGGTGCATGTGATAGTCACTCCAGGCTCTGGGAGCTGGGTGTAGACGGGCCGCCGTTTGGGTGAATGGGTGGGAGGGAGGATGTGCCACAGAAGGGGGCAGGTAGGCGGACCGGTGGACGAAGGCTGCTGTGTGTGCTCCGCCTACAGACGGCCGAGGAGAAGGTGCCCGTGTGGTACATCATGGACGAGTTCGGTTCGCGCATCCAGCACTCGGACACGCCCAGCTTTGCCACCGCGCCCTTCTTCTACATGCCCCAGCAGGTGGCCTACACGCTGCTGTGGCCCCTGAGGGACCTGGACACGGGCGGTAAGTCCGACCCCCGCCCGCCCTGAGGGATGGGCCCCGGCCCTGGCTTCCCGCTGCCTCCTGATGGGCCACGTGTCTTGATGCAGAGGAGGTGACCCGAGACTTTGCCTACGGAGAGGCGGACCCTCTGATCCGCAGGTGCAGGCTGCTGCCCTGGGTCCCCGCCGACATGCTGGACGTCAGCTCCTCCACGCCCGAGCCGCCGGACCAGCACTACCAGGTGTGACCGTCCCCCTCCAACCCTGGGCCTCCCTGCTTGGTGGCTTCTGGAATGTTCTTCAGTCACCAAATGTTCTTGAGCGCCAGCTGGCTGGTGTGGGGGGCAGCGGAGAGTCTGGGCGTGCCGGAGAGACGGGCTCAGAGCCCAGGCAGTGGGCAGGAGCTGCCAGCCCTGAGCCCAGACCCCAGGGGCCGGCTGCTGGGAACCATGCTCTCAGGCGATCAGAGAGCTGCGGCTGCTGGTCGTCTGTGCTGCTCCTCCTCGTTTTCGGGGACTCCTCGCCGGGACTGGGGGGCACAGCGTGGGCCATGCGGCTTGGTTACAAATCCCCACTCGGTACCGTTTCCTCCTCCCCCGACACCCCCCTCACCGGGAACATGAAGACGCTGGACTCGAACACTGCAAGGCGCGTTTTCTGGCGCACAGTAGGCCCTCCGCAAGTAGTCATCGGCGTCACTGTTACGAGCAACAAAGGTGCTCTGTGGCGGCCTCTTGGGCAAATTAGGGAGTCGGGGTCAGGGAGGCCCAGGGCAGGGGAGAAAAGGGGAAGCCTCTAGGAACATAGCCACTACCAGACCGGGCAGGGCTGGGCAGGGAAGACCCCCTGGCCCCTCTCTCCTCCCTCCCCTGCCCTCTGATCTCCCACCACTGCTTCCCATTGGCTGGTCCCAGTTGGAAACCAGGCCACGAGTGAGCCTGTGGTTAGCACCTACGGGTATGCTTGACTATAATCCTCACGACAGTAGGCCTTAAGGTCCCGTCTCTATCTCCATTTCACTGAGAATGAGGAAACAGACACAGAGAGATTGAGTAACTTGCAAACGGTCACACAGCTGGTGGGGGAGCTGGGCTCCAATACCAGGGGCGCCCAATAGCTTGTGGGCAGAGGCTTCCAACCTGGCCCCAGTGTGTGCAAATTTCCCAGCCCACACTGGCACATCAGACACTCACTGAGCGCCTCAGAGGATCATGGGAAGGAGTAGACAAGTCAGGAAGAGTGAGGATGGCACGCGCCGCGTGGTGGTGTCGATTCCGTGCGCGCTGTTGCTTGGGAGAGACTAGGCCATAATGACGGAACTATTGGCACCTTTCTGGTGGATCCCGTGTAAGCCAGTGGTGGTCGAACCGTCCCTGCGGAAAACTGCGCGATCACGGTGATTACTCATCTTGAGTTTGAGGCGAGTCTGCGAGCCTCGTAGGATAGTTGCACGTAGTAGGTGCTCAGTGAACAAGTGAATGCAAGGGGGGAAGGCTTAAGAATTGCTTAGGGATGAAGACTTCCTCCTGGTGGTGAGGCTGTTCAGCGGGCAAGCAAGCAGGTGGCGTGGCCTTCCGACCTCAGGGCTCGGGAGCTAAGACTGCAGAGTGGAGTTTGCGCTCTCGAATTAGGGTTTTTTTTTTTTTCCTTGGGATGCCCTCTACTGCCCAGGAAGAGGCGATGGGGCCAAACTCTGGTTGTCTGTCACCCCCTGGTTGCTTTTCCCCATTTGACCATCTAGATCAGCCTGGGACCTGAGCCCTGAGCCCTGGGGTAACCGGTATTAGTTAGCTGTCACCGGATAAGAAGGGACACGAAGACAGCAGCTTCACACAGCAGACGTTTGTAATCTCACCCCCGCTGTCTGTGGAACAGGCGTCGGGGGAGCTTTTGGCTCGGAGCCCCGCTCGCATAGCCAGGCTGTCAGCTGAGGCTCGATGGGGCTGAGGACCTGGCTCCACGACACTCACCCGCCCAGCCCCGTGGGCCCCCTCCGCAGGGCTGCTGAGCGTCGGGGTGTTTTAAACCACCACGCTGCTTACGCTTCCAGCGGCACCTCGGGGCTCCGCTAGGACCGGGCAGCCCCCTCCCAGGACGGGCCTGACATCTTCTCAGCTGCCTGTGATTTGGAGAGAGCCTCGGGAAGATTCTTTTTTTTTGACACAAAACGGGCAGTCCGGCACCTGTGGGGCCTTGAGGCCCAGAATCCCGGGGCAGGGTGGTCAGAGGGCTCTGGCTCTAGCTGGGGTCTGAGTGTGCCCCCTGAGATCTCAAACCCCGATGTGCCAGGATGGGGGTCAGGGCGGCGTGTTCACGTGCTCCCTTTCTCGAGGGTCTATTTCCACCTTCGGTGCTTTCCTTCCAGGCCATTTTGGAGGAAAACAAGGAGAAGCTGCCACTCGCCATCAGTCCGGTGGCGTATCCCCGTGACCACGTCTTCAGGTGCACAGCTCCCTTCTCGGCTCGTGATGAGACTTCCCTCACTCCCCCGAGTTCCCACAACCCCTAGGACAGTGCCTGGCACAGGGAGGCGCTCAGGAAGCCTGCTGTCTCTTGGCGACATGGCAGTGACAGACGTGTTAGGCACAGAGTCTGAGGATCACAGAGAGATCGCCGTGAAAAGTGAGGGGGTGTCCTGGGGTGAAGTCATAGCCAGGCCTGCGTGCAGCGACCCCTCCGGGAGGCAGGAAGCCTGTGCGGACAGTCAAGGCACAGGGCGCCCAGGAGGGTCTGCAGGGGTGGGCCGGCGGGTTATGCGAGGCCGGCAGGTGCAGGCTGGACCCCGGGGGGAAGCAGGTACTCCATGTACAGGTGAGGGTGTAAAAGTCAGTGCCGAACCCCCCCACCCCCCGGTGTAGGGCAGGCTCGGAGGCGGGGCCCAGCCCTCGGTCTACGCAAACCTGGTCCAGCCACAGACTAACTGCCTTCTGCCTCTGCCGTACCCCGCAACCGGGCTCCCATGCTCTGTCCTCACCTCTGCCCGGGGCCAGCGAGGGCCAGGCAGGTAGCAGTGAGCACTGGTGTGGAGCGGGGCTACATCCAGGACACTTGTCTGGGCCACACGCTCACCTGTAGGCACCAGGACACCAGCTGCCTTCTCTGAGGGCAGGGTTCTTCGTGTGTCCATTCTTCCTGCTTCCACGTGGAAGGAAAGCCTGCATTTGTTAAACACTCGGGTTAGCCCGTTTCATCCCAGTGACGAGTGTGAGCTAGGCCGTGATCCCATCTTACGGGGGGACCTGGGGTCACACAGGTAGGTGTGTGGTTGCCCCGCCCTCGGCAGGCAAGCAGAGGGGCTGGGGTCTGACCCTGGCTGTCCACCCTCAGGGCCCGCGCTGGGACCTCAGGGTCGAATTCACACCCAGCTGCGTCCTCCTTAACATCAGCCCCGGGCGGGGCGCCCCCAAGTGGCAGGGGTGTGGCGAGCATAGGCGGGGGCCCGGCTCAGCCCGACTTCTCCCTATAGGGTCTACACGGACGTCCAGCAGGTGCTCAGCCACCTCACCCACCCACGCTTCACCTTTACCCAGAGCGAGGCGGACGCGGACATTCTCTACAACTTTTCCCACTTCAAGGACTACAGGTGAGCCCCCCCTCCGCCCCCCGCCAGCCAGGCCGAGTCCCCTCGCCACCCCGAGCTGCCCGCGTTTCCCTTGGCCCTCCAGGAGGCTCAGCCAGGAGAGGCCCAACGTGCTGCTGAACCAGTTCCCCTGCGAGAACCTGCTGACCGTGAAGGATTGCCTGGCCTCCATCGCGCGCCGGGCAGGGGGCCCCGAGGGCCCAGCCTGGCTGCCCCGTACCTTCAACCTGCGCACCGAGCTGCCCCAGTTCGTCAGCTACTTCCAGCAGCGGGAGAGGCGGTAAGAGCCCCCTCGAGGCGGAGACTCCTACGTGCGCCCCGTCCCTACAGCCCCCACCCCACCTGTACCCGACCTCGCCGGCCCCCCGGCCCGCGCCTCGGCCTCGCGCTGACCGTGGCCTCGGTGCTGCAGCCGGCCGTGACTGCCGGGGTAGTTCTCCACGCCCCTGCCGAGCGAGCTCCTCCTTGCTCCTGGGGTCCGGCCCCTAACGCCCCCTCTGTGACACCTGCCACTGCTCCCTGCGGGAGGTTGGGCGCCCCTTTCCTAGGGCTGCCACGGCCCTGGGGAGACGTTGCCTGGGAAGGTGGGCCCAGGGCGCAGCCCAGCCGACCCCATATGCTCTCAGGGGCCAGGACAACCACTGGATCTGCAAGCCCTGGAACCTGGCCCGCAGCCTCGACACCCACATCACCAGGAGCCTCCACAGCGTCATCCGGCACCGCGAGAGCACCCCCAAGGTGGGCCTTGGCGCTCCGGGGGCGAGGGGCACTGAGTGCGCCGGCTGGCCACCGAGTCAGCGGGGCAAAGGGGACTCGCGTGTCAGGGCCTGGGTGCGGGCGGGTCCTGGTGTTGGGTCACTCAGCTCACGGGTGTCTCTGAAGCCCACACTCCATTCCTTCCACCGGCCTGGCCATCATGGAAGGGCTGTGTGACTGTCCGGGTGACATGGGGGAGCCCTTGCTCGGAGCTGCCCCTGGTGTGTCTGACCTCAGAGTCCCCACGTGCTGCACCAGGAGTGACCGCCGAGCAGGGGGCAGGTGGCCAGGCCAGGGAGCCCCTCGGGGCCCCGGACAAGGCTGCTGCAGGGACACACGGCACAGGGGCAGCGTCGGGGGCTTTGTGAGACGCAGCGCATCTGGGCGGAAGCCAAGGAAAGCGCGCCACGGGGATGATTGTCGCAGGGATTCCAGACAGCGGACGGGGAGTCGGCGGGATTATGGCTGAGGATTTGTATTCAGTTTTCAAAACCCAAAAACTGGTGGGATCCTTTCCCTCGGTTTAAGTGAAGCTTAGGGTACAGAACTTGCCACAGCCTGGACAGGGTGTGAAAAGGCCGAGGAAGAAGCCAGGTGCAGGGTGCACGCGCCTCCGTGGACCCCAGGACGGGAAGCGGCCCGCTCCCGGGACCGGGGCAGGAGCGCACCTGTGTCCCCAGGAAATGTGACGGCGTGCAGACGCGCCACAAGCACGAGCCCGCAGCCAGTGAGGACGGACGCGGATGGGGCCGGGCTGGGGTGCCTCCGGGCACTGGGTCCTGGCCCAGGGGAGGTGAGAGCCCGCCCGCGACCCCGCGTCTGTGTTCTCCAGGTCGTGTCCAAATACATTGAAAGTCCAGTCTTATTCCTGCGAGAAGACGTGGGGAAGGTCAAGTTTGACGTCCGCTACGTCGTGCTGCTGCGCTCGGTGAAGCCCCTGACGCTGTTCGTGTACGACGTGTTCTGGCTGCGGTTCTCCAACCGGTAACTGGGAGACTGGCTGGGGGGTGGGCAGCGGGGCCCCTCGTTTCCTCGGGGGTCAGAAGGCCTGCCCTGGGCTGCTCCCCCACCGCACACACGGCAGGTGGCCCGCTGAGCTGGTAAATGGCGGGGGCTCTTGCCCTGCCTGCCTCAGCCACCGCTGGGGACGGTCCTTGCGGAACAGGCACCGACCCCAGAGTCTCGCAATGACGTGTCCGGGCCGTCGGGGCGTCCTCACGGTTAGCTCATCGCTCGCTCTGACCCAAGCTCTGTGGGGCCGTGGGGCCGCCCCCTCGCGCCGATGGGGGGACAGGCGTCCGGCGGGCTCGCTCAGGGCACTGTCCCTGCTCGGCCGCGGCCACGCTCAGGACCCTCCCGTGTCTGCGCGCTCCTCCCGCAGGCCCTTCGCGCTCGATGACCTGGACGACTACGAGAAACATTTCACTGTCATGAACTACGACCCGGAGGTGGTGCTAAAGCAGGTAGAGTCCGGGGCGGCGGGTGCAGACCCACACCCATCGGCTTGTCCTCTGGGCGGGCTGTGTAGACGGTCAGAGGAGCGGACTTGGGGTACCCGTGTCAATCTCAGAACGGCACCCCCGCAGCTCTGTCTGAGGTGCCCGCGGCCTCCCCGGGCCCTGCGGCAGGTCGCCTGCAGGTCTCCCCTGGAAGCATCTGCTCGGCACAAGGGCGGGTGGGGGTGGGGAGGCGCGGGGTGCATGTCACGTGCCGCCACCCTCACCCCAAGGCCGGCTGCTGCTGTTGCTGGCCTGTGACCCTGCCTGGATCCTCCGTGCCCTGTGCTATCTGGGCACCGTGAGCAAGGGAACATCAGGGCAAGGCTCCCTTTGAGGTGAGGGCGTCACCCCAGCAGTGCACCTGGCCAGGTGGGCGTGGCCGGGGCGGAGGCAGAGGCCGGCTCTGGGTGGAGGAAGGAGGGGAGGAGAGAGAGGCTGCCTCCTCCCGGAGGCCCTCCCTGTTCCCTGACCTGCGCGCTGGGTAACGGCTGTTTGAGGCAGGCAGGAAGTAGGGCGCGGGCACTCACGCACCCTTGCTCAGCCCGAGGCCTGCAGGTGGCCTTCCCTGCCCTGCCTCCCACAAGGAGCCACTCCTCTGAAAGGGGTGATTACCCTTCCCGGGCACGTTCTTTTCAGCGTGCGTACCTCCCGAAATCACTCAAAGGACTGTTGTGCACGTACTATACGAGTCTGTGCGTAAATGCCATGGAGCAAATCCTTCTGTGGCTTTTGTCGTTGTTGAGCATCGTGCGTGTAGATCCGTCATTATCGCTGAATGGGGCCGGGGGCATTCTTGTCCCCGGTATGGGTTCGTCACTCACCTGCTAATAGACATTTGGGCCACGTGCGGTGTTCACTATTCACGAACGTGCTGCATCGAACACTCCCGGAGACGCCTCGCCATGACTGTGCGACCGGAGTGGCCTTGCCCACGTGCACGCCCAGCGGTTGCTTCTGGTCCCGGGCTGTGCTGGCGGCCGGCGCCTGGGAAGCGCCTGAGCCCTCATGGGACCCTAGGACACGGTTGGAAGTTGTCTCTGAGACAACCGAGGGCCGCCCTGTATACTGTGTGATGCCCCAAGGGTCCCGTTTCCCCTGAAGCTCCTGTGTGCGGGGACACATGTCCAACAGGATGTGAATGAGCCCACCCTGGCTCGTCCCTTGCAAGAAGAAGCCTGAGCCTACTGCCAGCTCACGCAGGTGTGTTTGGAGTGAAGCCTTGGCCTGGGGAGATCTTGCCATCCCCAGGCACTTTGAGCTGGTGCTGAGCGGTGAGCTCCGGCCTGGGCCCTGCAGATGCGGGTACAGGCTCTGCCCCCCGTGCATGCAGACTGGCGTGGTGCTGTGTCCCCCCGGGCCTTGCAGTCTGCTGACCCCTCAGCATTAAGCGTCTCACTTGAGCCTCACGAGAGCCCTGCCAATAAGTGCCGGGCAGGGAGCATCCTCCCGTTTTACAGACGGTGACACTGAGGCTCGGACAAGTAAATCTGCTTGTCCTGAGTCTATAGTAAGATCCAGAGCTCAGACTGCCTCCTGCCTCCATTTGTGCCCAGAGGTGGGGGTGCTGGATAGGCGGCTGGCACCGACACGTGGCCCCGGCGAGTGTCAGAGGCCCCAAATTAAGGTGGGGCAGGCCTCCCCACTCCCGGCCCGGAGGAGGCCCCGGGCAGAGCGTGACGGTCCCTGTGTCTGTCACAGGTGCACTATGATGAGTTCATCCCTGAGTTTGAGAAGCAATACCCAGAATTCCCCTGGAAGAGCGTCCAGGTGAGTCCTGAGCAAAGCCGCAGAGGCTGGGGCTTGCCCTCACCGGCCGGCATCGGGCGGGTGGGGGTCTTTGCTCCTCCCACCGAGACTAGGGAAGGAGATGGTGTGAGCTGCAACCCTCCTCCCACTCTAGACCTTGTGGGGTGCTCTGGAGGGGATTCGGGGCACTACGGGGACAGCCCGATGGCAATAGGCCCTATCTGCCCCAGAAATTGCAAACCTGAGGGGACAGCAGGGACACGGCTGGAGACACAGGCTGGCCTCTGTCTCTTAGAGCAGCTGCTTCTGGTGCTGCTCTGTCTGCTTCGGTGCAGAGGGCAGCAGGGGGCTCTGAGGCAGGAGACCGGCTGCTTTGTGGTAGTCAGACGCCACGAGCGAGGGGCCGGTGTCCTAGGGGGCGGCCGGGTGTGGAGACGCGAAGGCTGCAGGAGGAGGGGTCTTGGGCCATTTGGGGCCACAGCCCACGTGGAGGCAGGGAGCCTGTGTCAAAAGTGGCTCTGGGGGCTGGTCCCGGCCACAGAGCCACGCAGCCCCCCAGCCCTACCTCCCCCATCCCCAGGGTGAGATCTTCCAGGCCTTCACGGAGCTGTTCCAAGCGGCATGTGCCAAGCCACCGCCCCTGGGCCTCTGCGACTATGCCTCATCCCGGGCTGTGTATGCCATCGACCTCATGCTCAAGTGGGATGACCGTCCAGATGGTGAGGCCCCCCGCCCACCCCGCCCTGTAATCCAAACCACGCCCTCTCCACTTAGCCAAAGCCCATCATCCAGCCCTCTCCCTGCCAGCGTCCCCGCTTCCCTGCCCCTGTCGGTCGGTGCCCCTCGGGTTGTACTCTGCCTCACGTTCGCCGGGAGGTCTGGTCTGGGGGGTGCACCACCAAGGGGTGGCGGTCCCCAGGGCAGAGCGCAGGCAGGAAGGGCGGTGGGCTGTGGTGTCAGGGGGAAGCTCGAAAGGAAAGGGCCCTTGTGCCCCGAGGCCCCAGCGGCCAGGGCCCAGCCCACCCTCCCGGGAGTGAGGTGCCCTTGCTTTTGCGCCGTCAGGGAGGCGGGTGATGCAGCCACAGATCCTGGAGGTGAACTTCAACCCGGACTGCGAGCGAGCCTGCAGGTACCACCCGACCTTCTTCAACGACGTCTTCAGCACCCTGTACCTGGACGAGCCCAGCAACTGCCACGTCAGCCGCCTGGTCTAGGTGCCCGCGGGTCCTGCTGAGGCTGGGTCCTCCAGCCTCAGCTCCCCGGGCCACTTCTGCAGAGTCCTCCTCCCCGTCCTCCCTCGGACAAGCCTCGCCTTCGAGCTTTGGCCCCAGCACCGCCTCTGGGGGCTCAGGGTCCTCCTCTGCCTCCTGACTCAGGAGCAGGGCCGGTCACTGTGTCCCCTGGGGCTGAGTCCCAGGCCCCCGCGCACAGTCCCCTCACCGCCATCTCTGCTCAGCCAAAGGCTTTTCCAAAGAGTTTGGTTCCCGGTCTGCCGTGTTTCCAGGGTGTCGGCGGAAGACGGGTTCCGGGGAGCGTGACGAGGCGTCCCCACAAACAGGCTTCCCCGGAAGCACCTGTGGAGCCCAAACACGAACGGAGCCAGGCTGGCTCCTTCTCCAGATGCTGCTTGTGCGTCGTGGCTCCCCCAGGGCAGGGCGTCGGGGTCCCTCGCTGCACCCCTGTGTCCCCCAAACCCCTGGGAACCTGCCAGCCTTCTTGTTCCCCAACCTCGACCAAAACCTTTACGGGCAAGCTTCTCGTGCCCGCCGCCTGTGATCACTCTTGCCTTTCCATTTGGCAAAAGCAGGCCGTCCTTCCCACCTCCGTGGCCCCCGCAGACCTCGCCGCCCACCGGGCACAGCAGCGCTCTCCCCCTCGTCCGACGTCGGCTGGGACTCCCTGATGAGGGGCCTCGGGGACAAGTGTGGGCAGCAGGGCACCAGGCAGTGGAGAGCCGACAAAGATGATTCCAGGGAGAACTTCGCGTCATAGTTAGATGTCTTCCACCAGAGTCTAGAGTCAAAATGTTGGGTTTTTGTTAGTTTTTCACTTACAGGAGTAAATCGAAATTTCTTGTCCTTCCCATGCTTTTGTTTCCGAAACCTGGAGTCCGATGCCAGCCTGTGTGTAGCCGCAGCACGCCCAGGCCCCGCTGACAGGGCAGGGGGGCCAGTCCGCCTCCCGGGGACCGGGGAGCTGCTTTCGTTTTGAAGCCAAGAGTGATCCTGGTGGCAAAACTGGACTTGACTGTGCCTCCTTCTGTGTGTCTCCTTGGCTGTGTCTGTCGGCCTCTGTCACCCAGGACCTCAGCCTGTCTGCCGGGGGGACGCCCCTTCCCTCCAGCCACGCACAGGTGTCGAGAGCAGGGCACCTCCTCTCGGGTCGTCGCCCTGGAGGGCCGCTGGCGTCCCGTCCTCTCCTTGACTCGATTCGTATCACAATAAAGTATGCCTTCTCTACTCTGGCCTCGCTTTCTTTTGGGAGGCCCTGGAACCACAGGCCTGGCGCAGCGTGTCAGCCGTTTGCCTGTTTGGCTGTGGAAGAAAACCAAAATACCAAGACTGGCGCTTTGAAAAATGGGAGAGACGGGATCGCGGTGAGGCTTCCAGGTTCCCCGTCCCGGTCCGTCTGGGCTGCTGTGACCAGATATCCCCACTGGGGGGCTTAACAGGACTGCCTTCCTCACGGTTCC